TTTCTATATCAAACCTGAATTGCCTTAGTCTTTAACAAGCTGTACAAGGCCTCTGGGAAACCTGTTTTTAACAAAAATGGCTTCATAAATAGGCTTTGATCTCCTTTGAGGATTCTGAATTACGGCACAAAATTTTAACACATGTATTAACAATACATACATATGCAGATTTTAAGCAGGGTGAAATATAGTTTTTTGTTTCCTTCAGAAACATCCCAATGTGGTTTTCCTTTAAATATTTCTTGTCTGATGAATGCTGATAAACAGATATTTTATCCTTCAGATCTTTTGGAAATATCCTAAAATCCTGTTTAGCATTGCCCTCTATTCATTTTGATTAGGATCAGAAATAGAGATATGAAGGGGAATAGTCCCTCTTTCCCTTTTTTCATGCATACATGTTTTTGTTTTTTTTTTTTAATGCTTACTCTTTGACAGTCACTAAACTGTATCCTGGACTGCAAAGTTAATTAAGCTATAGATTCTTTGCTTCCAGAAATTTCAGTCTAGTGAAAAGGGAAAAAAAAAAATAGACAAATACAATGATAAGGTAGGTTGATTGATAAGGGCTGTAATAGACTTTTAAATATATCCAGTAGTCAGGCATCTATTTTAGACCAAGAGGATAAGAGGTGAAGTGAATTTTAAAGGATGAATCATGTTTTACTAGAAGGGGAAGGGCCATCCTGAGCAGAAAGAAAGATGGATATATGGACATGATGACCCATCTGAGGATCTATAGGAAATCCATGACTGCTCACTGTGTGGGCTCCTATCAGGGGTCTGAGACCAGAGATGCAGATGGCATCATTGAAAGCATTGCAGGAAGAAGAAGGGAAAAATATGTGTGTTTGTGTGTGCATACACACACATGTGTACACGTATATGTATGTAATTTTAATTAACTCATCAAATTTTAGTGCATAAAATTATAGAATTTTGAGGACTTGTAGTATGCCAAAATCTGAACAAGTTAGTATCTACCAGCCTGTTCATGTTTGAACACAGCAGATAAATTTTCCCAGTACAGATGGAAATATCTTCTATTTATGAAAATAACTTCCGGGAAGTTTTATACACATGATTATCCTAATTTATGTACAATGTCCTTCATGCAGAAGTTTTATTTACGACTGAAATTTTTAGGATCAAGCCTATTAAGGGACACCAGATACATTAGGTAAAGAGGAGTAAAATATCTGAATGTTTACACAAAAAGTAATAAATCCATTTCACTTGAATACATTACTTATATATAATAAAGAACATATCACAAGTGATAAACAAAATGACTTTGTCATTTGATAATTATATCAGGCATTAAAATTTAATTAAATGTATACATACATGATTTAATAAAGCTTCCAAATGTTTTCCTGGATTTTTTTCTCTAGGTTCACACATTTTGGCAATAACTCCATTTATTCCCTCTCCATTGATACAGAAGTAAGGACAATGTAAAGATATAAAACATATATGAGGTTTAAGATCCCCAGAAGATGTGTGCTCTAGAGCTCGTAGTAGATAGGATCTATACTCTAATATTTGGAAAGCTAAAGCAATTCATCATTACCTTAGCACTCAGTTCAATTGAAAATGAATTGCCTGTCTAATGTCATTGTACTACTGAGGAAGTTGAATGTCATTTATCAGACGAAAGAGTAGTGCCCAGCTATCTCACAGAGGCTTTGGGTTTTATTCACACTTAGAAAAATGAATATGATAATCATTATCTTAAAATTACAATTTTTACCCAACCAAGCTTTCTGGATTTGTTCCATAGGAGGACAATTAAAGAAAGATACAATGTAACAGATTCATTATTCTACTTATCCCTGTGCCTCCACGTTTTTTCCTCAGGTGAATTAAATCAGTCTAAGAAGAATTCAGCAGTAGTGTGACCATTCACAGTTCTGAACAAGATAAATGCAAATGTAGGATGAATCTACTTTTTCATCAAAGACCCCCTAATGTGATGGCATTTAAACTTTGGATTGTCCATTTTATCCATGATCCAAATAACAAGTTTAAACAGTTAGCTGCTCTACTTTGAAAGTGACCTGTGATGCTCTTCTCCCTAAACAGCCGTTGAATTCCAGGTGACCTAAACCAGGTGATTGCCCTGACTTAGGGCGCTCAAAAGGATACTTCTTTGTGAATGCCTGTGTGGCTGACATCAGCAAGATGTGAGAATGTGTAGTTTTTATATGTTGTTAGATTGTGCGTATTTAGGTCGCCTTGTTTTATGTGGCTGATTAAGTTAATTGTACTTCAAAGTAACAGTAACAGGGTAGCAGGTAGTTCTGAAGGGTCCTGGGATGGCTCCAGGCTTGCCTTAGAGACTGCCTTAGCTTAGTGTTCATGATCTTTTATAATTCCTCCCCTTATTGACTCTCTTTACGTGAACTGAATACAGGAGAAATGATTTCTTGTCACTTCCAAGATTAGTTTCTTCTTTCTTTTCTTTCTTTCATTATTTTTTTCCACTCTGTTGCCCTTGGTAGAGTGCCATGACATCATAGCTCACAGCAACCTCAAATTCTTGGGCTCAAGCCATCCTCTTTCCTCAGCCTCCCAAGTAGCTGGCTTCTACCACAACAACCAGCTAGTTTTTTTCTGTTTTTAGTAGAGACAAGGTCTCGCTCTTGCTCAGGCTGGTCTTGGATTCCTGAGCTCAGGCAATCCACTCCCCATGTGCTCAAGATTAGGTTTTTAAAAAACTGTTGTCTTTTGACCTGGGTGCTCTACCTCACTCTCCTTTGGATCACTCACTTTGGGAGAAGCCATGTAATGAGGCAGCCCTTTGGAGAGGTCCAAATTATAGCTCAAAAGCAAGTTTCCTGAGGCCTGGCAGCAACCTTGTGAGTAAACTTGAAAGCAGACCCAACACTTGCCTGGAGCTGTGGGATGACCACACCCCTGGCCACAAGCTAGAATGCACTTCACGAGAGACCTTGAGCCAGAGGCCCCCAGCTAAGCTGTGCCTAAATTTTCCACAGAAATTGTGAAATAATTAAAAGTAATGTTAAGCCCATGAGTTTTGCGATAGTTTGCTAAACAGCATTACATACCTAATACTACAGGATAAGGACTTTCTGTCTCCAATAACAGAGAATCCAGTTTCTAAGTTTCCGGTAACATTGAACTCTCTTGAAAGTCCTGACCTGCAGCCTATTGAGGACTTTAAAAATCTCCTTACAGCTCCTTCAGCTCCTTTGAGGAATTTTTCACTTTGAGGAACATTCTGCAAATCTACTGCCCAGATGTACAACCACTCCCGTGTTTCAGACTTTTGTTACAGCAGCAGCCCATGCTCAGAATAAAAGTCTGTATTATCGAAGTAAGGTGAAAAAAATAGAAAATGTGCCTTGACATTCACCTAAAGCAGTGGTTCTCAGCCTTCCTAATGCCACGGCCCTTTAATGCGGTCCCCGTGGGTCGCGACCCATAGATTGAGAACCGCTGGCTTAAAGCGATGTCCAAGCAAAGTGCGGAAGGTGCCGCCTGGTTTCTTCTCCCAGGAATATGGTATAACAGAAGAGTAGGGAGGTAAATTAAAGGAAGTTTGTTAAACGAAAAAGGAGCCAGTACTTATCGTGGCCTTGAAAAGCCTCAGTTTCTCTAGAAATCACGTTATGTTAAATGTAAGAAACAACTTCAAGCAAAAACAAAATCTTTCCCAGGAGACTGTAGTTGAACTATATAAGAGAATATGACTTCAAAACCTTTTTTTTAGACCTCAAAATGATTAAATCTGGTGATTCAGAAATCTCTAAAAGAGATTAAGAAGACCATTATCTGTGTCCTTGGCAACATGATTATGGCTTCTGGAAAGCTTAAGTGCACTATTTTTCACAGTAAAAGCAAGAGCCCCAGTAGAAAGGGGCTTATCTCAAAAGATTTGTGAATGTGCTTTTGTCAAGTGATGTCAGTCCCAAGAAGATTCACAGGAGATCCATGACATTCTTAAAAGAATCGTAAGTGCAGAAACTTTGCCAACTTGAAAAGGCAGTAATAGAAATAGTTGAGAAGCCTTTGGACTCTCAGAATTCTGATTTGGAGTCCACTGAGAAAGCCACTTAGCTGAATGATGACTCAAAGGGTAGAACTAGACCCCAGAAGTTGAAGCCAAAGAGCCAAGGGGAATGAAACAAAACCTCTTGTCTTTCTTAAGTAACTACCAATAATTGCATGATTAGCCTTGAGAACTCCCATGGACCAGTGGCTCCTGTGCACCTGCCATTTGCACCTTTCAGTTACCCTATGCCTGTTCTGCTACTGTGCCTTGGGTGTTTGGGACACTAGTTTCTGTTTTCAGGCAAAGAGGAACTGTATCTAAGTAGATATATTCATGTAACTGTAGCCAAAGCTAGACCCAGTTCAGATAACAAGATTATATATTTGGAGTAGATTAATAATGGTGTTAAACTTTGGGGGACAGGGAAGTAGGTGAACATGTATTACCTGTGAGAGGCATGTTAGTCGTCAGAGGCCAGAGGCAGAGTGCACGTTCCCTGCTTCCCTCTAACTCCTGACAGTCAGACGCTCCTGTTCCCCTTCGGTGAGTGAGGGCTACGTTCATGGACTTGCTTCAAATGAATAGAATACACCATAACAATAGTTATGAAATTTTAATGCATTATTTGTTATTTAACCTTTTATATAGCTGTGATTCTAAAGTGCTTATGCTAAATTAGGCACTAAAAATCAAAGTAGAACAAAATTGATATTTTTGTAAAAAATGAGGTACTATGATTCCGATATGGGCAGTGGAATTTTGCTTTCTCTTTGAGCCCCAGGAGGTATGTGCTTTTCTTCTTGCCCACAGCTTTGCCTCGTGCACCCTTTGGTTTCTTACACTATTTCTACCATGGTGTAACTTAATTTGATGTTATGGAGGGATGCTTAGGTGACATTGACACTGGCAACAGGAGCTAAAACATATAATTAGTATCAGTGTTGCCTAGTTGGACCTCAAAGTTGTTTTTTGTTTTTTTTTTTATCGTGCCTCTAAGTTATAACTCAGTGTGTATCTTTATACCCTGGGCTTAAAAGACTCATGGCTTTTGTTTTAATATTGTACTTCTTCAACTGAGCTATCACAGTGGACCTCCAAGTTTTGGTCTGTGTTTAAATCTCCTGTGTTGTCAGACTAAGAAAAGAAATTAAACTAAGACAAGAAATTATACAGGCGTATTCATTTAGTTCCGTCGAGGCTTTTCGCTCTGGGGAAATTTGGTCTAGAACAGAAAAGTTGTTAACATTTTTGTGAAAAAAATGATTTTTCAGAAAGTATGTGAGACATAAATAACATTAAATTAAAAACACATTTCCTTATTCCTTAGGGAATTTCGTAGTGTACTGTTATTCTAAGATACTATTTTATGGAGACAGGAAATATTATGATCAGAAATTTATTTTTGAAACAACATATTAATAAAGTTTCTAGTCATGTCATAAATATCAGAGGGAAGACATGTGACATATGTCAGGCTACTTATGATTTATTATAAAAATTAAGACCAGTTTTTGATAGGTGATAGGTGTAAGATATACTAAATATATGCTTATTATTTATTGATGACTGCTCTGTATATGCTAATGGAAAAATTTCTCACAGAAGATGTCAGATGTGATTTACATTCACTACTGGAACAAAATGTAGATATTTCAGTGTCATTGGAAAAACTGACAAGGAATTATAACTTTCTTACGGTCTATCAATCAATCACCAGACTGCTTCCATATTTGAAAATGTTGCCCTGTATTGGCTTATGTTATTACAGTATTCAAACATTGGAGTTGTGGTGTATCAGATAAAAAGAAGCTTCAAATCATTCTCTAATCTCAAGAACATCCTGGCAGAGTTACTGGGACTTGTCATGTGAAATTGATTTCCTCCTAGAAAAAATAGGTATTTCCTCTTCTGTTAAAAAATGATTTTATCTATTAAGTGTCTTTTCTTGTGAAGATCTTTTCTTTTTATGATCCAGAGGAAAAACATTCTTTTTCCTCGCGGAAGAATGAATTTTACTCACTAATGAATAATCGGTGTAGCAAACAAAATGAACTATAAACCAAAACAGTAGTACACAGGCATATAAAATGGAAAGGCTTTTTTTGCAATGAAAGTAATAATTCATGTTTGGGCACCATTTAACATTATATTCCATAAACCCGTTTTAAGGGGGTGTATATAGTATTTAAAAAATGTCATAATTGATCTCATAGTTTATAACCAGTTTTCCACTCAAACTGGTTTATAAACTGATTATCATAATACATGAGATCAAAATATTTTTGTAATAATAATATTTAATGATAACAGAATTAGTGAAGGTTTTCAATTGATCTCCATCAAACAAAAGAGTGCTATGCTTAACAGTGCTGTTTAATTTTTTTGTATGGTTTTAGATTTCTTTCATATTCTTTTTTTAGTAGTTTGCTTAGATTTTTTAACTTTAAAATATTAAGGGGGTACAAATGTTTTTGTTACCTGGATAGCTTTTTTTTTTTGGAGACAGAGTCTTACTCTGTCACCCTGGGTAGAGTGCTATGGTTTCATAGCTCACAGCAACCTCAAACTCCGAGGCTTAAGCAATTCTCTTGCCTCAGCCTCCTAAGGACTACAGGCACCCACCACAACACCCAGCTATTTTTGTTGTAGTTCTTATTGTTGTTTGGCAGGCTGGGCTGGATTTGAACCTGCCAGCTCTGGTGTATGTGGCTGGCACCCTAGCCCCTGAGCTACAGATGCCGAGCCCTGGATAGCTTTTATAATGCTGTAGTCAGGGCTGTAAGTGTGCTCATCCCTCAAACAATTTTTACACCTCTCCTCCTCCCTTTTCTCCCTTCTTGGTTTCCACCTGGTTTTACTTTTTTCTATGCCCAGTATGGCAAGCATTTTTAATATGTCTGATTGTCCTTAACTTAATTTTCTTAATAAGTACTGCTAGCTTTTATGATTCTTGTTGCCTTTAGTAAAAACAATAGGTAATCACCTTGTATGGTAAATCAGCATATTTATTACATAACTCTGAAGGCTACTGGGGACCTCGAGGCAAGCAACTTTCTTTGGGACACTAAAAATCCTTGTGGTTTGAACCCGAGGTGCTTTGTTGTGGTTGTCATTGTTAATGATGATGGTTAGGTTTGTTTGTTGTTTAATAAACAATAGAAAGATGAATTTATAGGAGTTCCAGACTTGCCTCAATGAGAGTGAGACACCGACTCCTAAAAAAATGGAAAAACCCAGCTGGGCTCTGCAGCAAGTGCCTATAATCCCAGCGGCTTCTGGAGTCTGAGGTTGCAGTGAGCTATGACACCATTGCACTCTGCTCAAGGGCATAGGGTGGGACTCTGTCTCAACAACAACAATGACAGAAAAAAGCAAAGAAATAAAAAAGAAAAGATGAATTTAGATTTATCCCATCTTATTCTCAATATTTTACGATGAGACTTTTTCCAAACTGTTACCATATTGAATGGAAAAGCAATGATTGGTATCATGCATTTATTTCTTAAAGATAGCATGTTGGACTATAATGCTTTGTAATTAGAATATTTCCAGTAAAAACAAAATAAAACGTGAGGGAGGCCAGAAATTTCAGTCCCCACCCAAAATTAAAATAGTATTATTTCTGTAATAACATGGGAGAAATTAGAATATGTTGTGTTCATATCTTACCTATTTAGAGGAATGACTTTAGCGAAAGAACAAAATACTCATAAAAGTAAAGATTACAAGGAGTGTCCGGAAACTTCAACATGCTGTCAATATATTTTAAAATGTAATGACATTCACGTCTTAATCAGTACTTAAGAAATGGCAAAATAAAATTTGCTAAGTTATGGATGCTGTGAGTGCCTTGGGAGTGAGGAAGCCTAGGGGCACATCATTTTTATCTTATTTTGCAGTTAGCTCATGGGATTGAACCTTTAGTACTTATGTAAGGACAACAACTTAATTATGAAATGACTACAGATTAATTTTTGATCTCAGGTTAAACAAATATTCAAAGGATTAAAAAGGAATATTTTTATTAATTAGAATTTACTAAAAAAGTTTAGTCAATTCCTATTTAATAGATTTATAATTTCTTCATTTCTGTCTAATCTGAAAATAGGTTTTATGTTAGAATTGGCTTCCTACAGATTGTGACTTGCTTTTTCTAGTTGCCGTGAGTTATTGAGAGGTGTATGTTTCCTTGAGGATGGTGATGGAAGTACTATTTCAAGGATTATTTTTACTAGACGACTTAGTTACTAACATTTTCATGATAATATGGGTAATAGAAATTTTTCATTAAAATTTGTTGGATAAATCTAACATGTTAAAAACTTTTGCCATGATTATGAGTCTAGCATTCTTTATGCCGCAATGGTATTTTGAAGTCCTGTAATTTGCAATCTCCTTCACAAAAATAGTTGATCTGATAAATTCCTTTTTGCTGGATTCTGCCACGTCCATCTTTTTAATGCCTCCTTGTTCATTATTAAGTGCCTTTAGCCATGCTGCTTAATGAAAGGTGCCGCATATCAAGTCTGATTACTGCTGTAATGTTTTCCAGACGTGCTTGGTGATGAGCCTGGCATAAGAAACAATTTCCTACAGTAATAAAGCTAATTAAAGTAGGCAGTCATCCACATACCAATTTCTAATGAATCATAATAAGCTCATTAATCTCACCCACTCTTATTCCAAAAAAAGTTCATTGAGAGGACCAGTACATAAGGGTAAAATCCTCAGCCTTAAAAATGAACAGCTATCATAGCATGAGAGAAGACTTGGTGAATTTAAGTTAAAAAATTACAAATTGCCAACCAGTGCTTTAAATTAAATGAATAGCTTCTAAAGTTGGCCCAGATTATTTATTGACAAGAACTCTATTTGAGTTCTCCTATAATTGGCTTAACAAAAGCAAAACTGATACATTGTAAGTAGTAACTCTTCAGCACCTTGAAGACTCAAATTGAATGAACCTACTTACGTGAAGACTCAAATTGAATGAACCTACTTACGTTTCCTCATATATAGATCATATGAGAATGGGAAATTAACTACTTGCTATCACCTGATAAAAATATAGCCTATTTTCTTTCCACAGAAGACTAGAGGATCTTCTCAAAATGTCAAAACATAATAATTATTCTTTGCTTAACTCTCCCTAACTTTGTGAGGTGCCTGATCAAGCAACATAAGAATTATTATTCCAGTCAATTACTTATAGCTTGACAATAAGGACTTATTATTCTAGAGATAATCTTATACTAAAAGAGATATGGCTGTTAAATGTAATTGTTAACTCTAAAATGCAGAGAGACAGTTATGGAACTACAAATATTGCTAGTAAGCAAAGAAAATTTGGGGAACGTATGTTTTATCTTCATTATAATGGGATGCTTTAAAGTGCAGCAGGTCCCATTCTGAAGCTCATTATTACAATGCTGTGACACATCTGGACTCCTTCCTTTATAAATATGTAGATTTCAAAATACAGAATAGTGATCATGGGTTAACTGAAAATAGGTTGACACATTTTAATGTGTGGAATGAACATACTCAAAATTGTTATCTACATTCATGATTTTTTAGCCAATGTTTCATCCTCTTTGGAGGGGAAGAGATTGGCTATTTGGTGCAGAGTATTTTCTTTTGTAAAACAGAAGTTTAAAAGTCTGACAGCTTTGGCAAGTCGACACTTTTACTCAACTTGTCACTGAACAAAATGTCCCCCCATCAAGGATCAGCTAGAAGCACGGCAGTCCGTTGCCACTGTATGTAAAGAGAGTTGGTTCTATTCTGTGAACAGCTACTCGGGTACCTGACTTGGGTACAGGTTTCTCCATTATCTAGCTACACAGACTCAAGACAGTAATTTACATAGCACCTAATTCAGTATCTGTATGTTTAAGATGAGGGGGCTCGGCTAGAGCAGCCAATCCCAAAATATGGAAAGTGCCGGATAGCAAATTTGCTGTTTTAGAAAATGGTTGAATACAACAATTGTTAAAAGTCTGTTAAGTAAAACTATTTCCCTTTGAAGTTCAGTTCAATTCTCCTGAAATCCAAGAGGTAACTTTGGTGCTATCAATCCTTAATCCTCTTCCAACACTGGCAAATCTTTTTTTT